TGTCATTAAACAGACACATCGTGTCGCGAAAACGCGGAGTGTGAACATTACACAATCGCAGGATATCGAAATTATCGCGTGACGACGTTTTTTCACGATCAGACACGTGGAAGACGGGGAACTAGGAAAGTGTCGCTCTGTCGACAATATTTCATCCGCGTGGAAATATTCTAGCTGAAGAAAAGATTCAATATTTGACGGAATTTATGTTGATGTTGCTGTTGAAGTCCGTACTAAGTGCTTGTCAGAGTCACTCGAATTATTTTATCATAAAATAGTAAGTATTCTATCACATACATATTTATACCCACACATACACTCATACATACAGGGTGCGTCACCAAAATCCGGACAAATCGAACAATTTTTCTAAACGAAATTTTATTAATGAAAAAATTAATTATTAAGGAAAATTCTTTCACATATCACGTAGGGGGTCCTTACAGGGTATAATTATTCTATATAATCTCCATCAGCTTCAATAACGGCCTCTATTCTCGATCTGAAACGTTCGCATGCACGCTGCAGTGTAGCGCTGTCCATATCGGCGAATGCTGCTTCAATAGCAGTCCTTAATGAGGTCACGTTGGGATGACTTGACTTGTTGGTGACCCTTTCAACAACGCTCCATACGTAATAATCCAAGGGATTTAAATCAGGACTATTGGGAGGCCAGAATTCTCTGGACCAAAACATGTCAATGTTGTCTGAGAGCCAGTTTTGAACCAAATGACTCGTGTGAGCCTTCGTTTGATTGTTCTGAAGTACGATATTTTGCCACAACATCATAGACGGTTGATCTCGGATATCTAAAAAACCGAATTATTTCCGTTGGTGACTGCCCAGCGCGAAGGCCTTCGATAATTGCGGCTCTTCGATTATATTCTCTGCCTGGTGTCGACGCTGCGGCCATTTTGAGTTTGTGACTATTTACTAGAAGCATCAAGCTTACTCAAACGCCCAAGGTGACTTTGGGCGGAGGCGCAATATGGAGGGAAATTTAAATTGAAATTTGTCCGGATTTTGGTGACGCACCCTGTACATACATATACATACACACGAGACTTTGAAAAATGATCCCTGAAATCTGAAATCAGTGGCAGGATTCTTTAATGTCTTGTTAGATCTAAAAGAATATATCTCAGTAATAAAAAATCGTTAAGTACAATTATTCTAAGCAATTTTTCTAAGACATTAGAGAATCTCGCCAAAATATACGAAAGCTATCCGATAACTTTTAGTATTATATATTTTTAGCAAAAAATGTCGTTTATTAATAATGAATGTGCAGAAGAGAGAATGCATAATGATGAGCCAGATGATGTTACAGATGAAACTATTAGCAATGATCTGAAAAAAAAATAAAAATCTAGTAGTATTTATTGAAAATACTAATCGTACTCGAAGTATCGCCAGAAAATATTTTGGCATGCTTAAAAATAGTGAAAAAAACATTATAGTTGACAAATTTCATGTATACTGTAAAATATGTTTTATGCATTCTGATAAACGAAAGATATATAGGTACAAGAAAACGGTTAGCACCGGTAACCTACTTGCACATTTGATGGAAGAACATAATATTACATCAACATAATTAAATCATAATATTATATATATATATATATATTATATATAATTATATATAATTAAAACATAATATTACATCAACATAATTAAATCAACATATTTATCAGAAAGAGGCGACATTAAGAGATTCTTTCAATCTCCCAGATCCAGATTATCTGAACAATCTAAATCTTTAAAAACTAATGAGAAAAAAAAGAGTTAAGTGATAGCATAACTATTTGGTTCTGCAGAGATCTTATCTTTTATGCAGCTGAAAAAGATGGATTTAAAGACTTTTTAAAAATACATGGTATTATAAAAAATGAATTGGATCTGCCACATCCATGTACATTATCTCGTAATTCACTCTCAAGAGTGTATAATGACTGTGTATTTGCTGTAAAAGCAAAAATTAATGAAGATAACCCAAGTGCTATTTCACTAACTATGGACGCATGGACTGATAATTATCGTCATATACCATTTATGACGTTCACATTGCATTGGATGTCACCCACAGAAACACAGTTAAGATCTTGTACATTACGAAGTTTCTTACCACATCCTCATACAGCAGATAATATTGTTGCAGAATTGAAAAAGATGCTAATACAATTTAATTTAAATAATAAAATTATAACTCTTGTAACTGATGGAGGAGCAAATATGATTAAAGCTGCAAAAGATATAAAAGTTGAGAGGTTACCTTGTGTTGCACATGGACTTCACAATCTAGTCATGGTAGACACTCTTTCAAAAATACCAGACGTTAATAATCTCATAATTAAGGCTAAAACTATTGTAAAAATTCTGGCTTTTAAAACTCATGAGTTTGAAAAAGTAAAAGAAATTCTTCAGCAAGAGAATATTAATAACATATTGGACAGTGCTGAAAATTTGGAAGAAATTTTAGAAACTAATGCAAGATTTGATTTTACATTTTTGAATGATGAGCATTCATATGCACAAAGTTTTCCTCCATTTGTAACACCTTCAGGATTACATAAAGATGTACCAACCAGATGGAATAGTACATTAAAAATGTTATCGAGTTTACTTAAAAATAAAGGTAATTAGTTAAATGAAGAAAATATTTTTCTCATTGCACAATTATAAATTTACTGTTTTAAAAATAATAATATCAGAAAATTTGTCGATTGCATATTAGTAGTTTTTTTCAAATGTTACAATTTATTTTTCAGAAGTAGTGATACGTTGCTTGGAAATGATTAGACGTTATGATGCAATTCCTGACAATGAGTGGATAGAAATCGAAGGTATAGCAAGCTGTTTAATAAGTATTAAAACAGCAACAAAAATTCTTTCTGAGGTAGAATATCCAACAACCAATCTTGCACTTTTATTTAGGTTTGTAATTGATATTTTTGAATACATATAAGTAGGGAGAATAGATCGTTTCTAACCCACTTTTTCCACGGGTGCGAGAGAGAGGTCTCGTAGAGCGAGAGAGATAGAAAGATATCTGAGGGGCAGGGTGACGGCGGCGCGGGTGAGCAGGGGGGGTAGGTAGGGCGAGGGGAGCCGCTCGCCGTCGGGTGGGTAAACGGAGGGTCGTGACGTCACGCGGCGGGGAAGGGCGAGGGGCCGAGGGGGGAGCGGACGGCGGTCGCGACGTCACGCGGAGTATAGGGCGAGGGGGCGGCGGGGGCGAGGGGGAGCGCGGTTCGCGCGAGAGCGAGGGAGAGGAGGGGGAGAGAGCGCGCGTCTCTGGTTACGGCGGGCGCGCGTTCCTGGTTACGGCGCGTCGGAGCGTCTCTGGACGCGGCGCGCTAGGTGCGCGCGATAAGCGGCGATCGCCCCGGCGTCGAGCGCGTCGCGCGAGATAAGGTCGACGTTAATAATAGAGCGGACGCGCTCGACGCAGGACTGGAAGAGATATGACGTAAGATTTATATAACGTACGATTTTATATAAAATATTATTTTATACGATGTATAATGTACGATGTATATTAGATTTATTTCGAGCAGGAGGAGGAGGGAATTCTTCGCGAAGCGAGGAGAGACGAGGGCGACGTAAATCTAGGAGAGAGAGATAATAAATTACGTGTACAATTTATTTATTTAATTATTTGTTTATTTATTATGTCGCGAAGTTACACGCGTAGATACATGTGTACGTCGAGAATAACATCGGTACTCACGATCGTTTCGCCTTACAAATTGTGATAGAGTCCGAACAGCAGAGCGTGCAACTCGCAGTCGATCAGATCGTTCGCGTTGAAGTGCTCGTGCCGGCGAATCGCTTCAGGAATATCGCCGGGGTGGTCGGTCTCCGTCGCGATATCTAGAAAACGCGATAACTTGGCGTCTACGATCTCGAGTACGGCGGTCAACGACGCGATGATGCGATTGACGCACAGCTCGAGAACGAACAGCGCCTTCACGGTGGATTGCGACAGAGCGATGCGATTCTTCGGTGTCTCGAATCGCAGAGTCTTCAGATTGTTTATCTTGCCGAATCGAAGCGTCACGGTTCCGACGATTATGGACGTCGGAGGGCGCGCGACAGCCTCGTCCAATTCGTTCTCGAAATACGGCAGTATATCGTTGCGCAGAGCGAGCAGATCCTTCCACATGTCGGGCGTCAGAGATATCTCCTTTCCATGGCAGTCTCCTAGGACGATATCGACTCGAGATTCGCGCTTCACGGCTACGGCGATGTCGATATATTTGTACGCCGTCTTGGTCAGAGGATATCGTCTTCCTAGTATTCGAATCAGATGTCTCGCGAAATTGATCTCGCGTTTGAACAGCAAGTTTCTATTCCACCTGTAAAAAAAAGACTACGTTATTATGGGGAAATAGCCGATCGAGGCGGAGATCGAGAGCGCTCGGGCGAGGTGACTCGCGCATACTCACTCGTCCTCGGTGTACAGTCGTGCTTTCTTGATCACGGGCGGAGTGTCCGAACGATCGCGGGTGGTATCCTCGTCCTTGGCGGAAGCCGCGTAATCGTCTCGACGGTTAGGCGGGACGACGAAGGGGCCCGTCATCGGCGGCGCCGACGGAGTCGCGGGCGTCGCGGGCGTCGCGGACGAGTCCCCGAACACTCTGCGGTACTCCTGTCCTAGTCCGGCGAACATGATCGGTCTCGCGAACAGGGCTTCGATGTTCGTAGGAAGACACTGCGGTGGCGACGACGTCGTTAACGTTGGTCGTCGCGAGGAGAGAGAGAGATTTGTCGTAGACGTCCGCTGAGAATCGAACGCGCGTTAATCGCGAGTATCGTTGGAAATGTCGCACGCAACGATCGAGACGCGTCTTATATACGATGCGATCTCAATCGTCGTCTCGATATCTTTATTCTCGACGCGCGCGTTAATTAATGCAGCGGAAGCGGTTTAGAACAGCGGTTTAGAACAGCATATTAAATGTAATCTTAACGTTAGGTTTCAGGATTTCCTGATCTTAGTCATCGTCGTCGTCGTCGTCGTTGCGCGGTCTTTCGAAGGACGCGTATTCCAGACGATACAGCTTGGAGACGAGTTCGCTCAATCGATGCAGAATGCCATCGGCTGGGCATTCTATTCCCAGTATGCTAAGATCGAAGGGACCGGCCGAGATTATCGCGTCGAGGAACTCGCTGTACGCGTAATAGTCGCGTTTCTTCAGAAAATAGAGATTACCGTCGACGTGACGGAAGGCGGCCGTCATCGCGGGTGGTATCCCGGAAAACGTATCCCGCAGAACGCCGTGCCTCGCGACGGTCATCGCGCAGTCGTTCATCTCGGCTATCTTATCGTCGTTGTATATGACGTAACTGCGCCCGGCGTGCGTGTTTATCGCGGCGTTTATCCTAGCGTCGCGGGGAAATCCGACGTATTCGAAGGATCTAGGCCATCCCGCTTTAAGATGAAAATTCGAATCGGCGAGGTAGACGTAGTCGCCGACGAATATCGCGATATCGCCCGACGGTCTCTGATACACGGCCGATACGCGAGTGAGATTGCGGGGGAGGAATTTAAAGTAGTCGGCGAACGAGAAAGGCGCTCCGTAGCGTCTCTCCCTCATATCGACGCCACATGTTGCGTTTACGCGCGACGTACAGGCGACGATTCATGATTAGCGCTCCGTCTACGCGCCTCAAGGCACATAGATCCGCGGTATCGGAGGGAGCGAGCGGCGGCTCGACCGTTCTCGCGGTCGTCGACTGAGCCGCGGCTGCCGTCGTCGTCGTCGAGGCCGTCGTCGTCGTCGTCGCGGTCGTCGCCGCGGTCGTCGGTCGAGTAGCGTCGACGATCCTAGGAGTCGTCGTCTCTCTCGATCCGTAGAGATTTCGCACGTTTACGACATCCTCTACGCTCAGCCTGAGCGGATATCGTCTTTCCTCCGAAGGCGTGTACGCGTACATGACCGAGTCATCCCTCGTACTGTGTGTCAGACCCAGAGTGTGACCGATCTCGTGCGTCAGCGTCTGAAGGAGATACAGCCTGTCCGACGAGGGCTTGGTCAGCGTGATGTGCCACGGCTCCGTCTCGTCGACGTGCACCTCGGTCACCTGATCCGGCTCTCCCGTCGGAAAGAACGCGTGAGCGACAACCGATCCCGGTCCCGCGAACGGCGACGGGCACGAGCCCCCGTTGTCGCTGTTCTCATACGCGTGAGCGCCGGATTGATAGGATATCAGTATATCGGGGCGCAGCGAGTCGCGCGAGAACGTCAGAGTGGATTGCTCGGACCACAGAGAGAACGCGCTCTGAGTCGTGCGCAGAGTACCTCTGTTCGCTAGTTTGAAGTTCCACGTGAGATGCGCCCTCGGCCACTTTCTCGTCAACGGGCTGTAGGCGCGAATGTCGGCGACGCCGCATCGCGGCATGCGCATGACGCGAATCGTTTCCACGGTCAGAACGCCGTTTCCCGACAGACCGTAGTATTCCTGAAACAACGACAGCGCTTCGCTCAGGGCGGTCGCGTTGTCCAGTAGCGACGACTGCTGATGATTCTCCTCGTTCTCCAGAAAGCCGTAGGTTCGAAGAAGAACGGGACGCCTCCGCGACGTCATCGTGGGTCGACGTCGCCGCGACGGCCGCGAGCAGGGATATCGTCAGCGCGAGCGATAACGCGACGCGCGTCATGGCTCGTGCGAGACGCGCGGGGGTCGGGACGGTGGCGAACTATCGCGCGCGCGCGTCCTTCGGCGATGCGTCGTTCTCCGGAACGCGAGAAAGCGCGAGTACGAGGGAGAAGGAGGAGGCGAGGGGAGGGGAGGGTAAGGAAAGATACTCTAGGACGCGCTAGAGAGGTGATCGAAAAGAAATGATTCTTTATTCGTATAAAAAATGATTTTTTATTCGTACAAAAAAATTATTCCTCATTCGTACAAAAAAAATATCGCGATCTACGATTCACAAAGATATTGCTTAGACGTGCGCCTTGTCGTGTCTTCTGCTTCTTTTTATATGTTTGTTTGGATATAAAATCGAACCATTTGACGCGATATCGAAGCACGCGATACGCGCGTGTATATTAGTTTCGCGATACTTGTCGGAGGACAAGGAGGAGGTGAATGAGCGTATCGCTTTACGAGGTGTTTATATAAATGTCGACAGGGTTATAACGTTTAATATAACGCTTAGTATAACGCTTAGTATAACGCTTAACATAATGAAGTAATTACACGGCCGATACGCGAGCGAGCTTGTGGGGGAGGAACTTGAAGTAGTCGGCGAACCTTATATTACAACATTATATTAGAACATTCTAATATAATGTTCGAGAGAACGCGGAGGGTCTTCGAGTTCTCCTCCCTGTTTGCTGATCGCGCGACTATCGATGATGGATGCGACACGACGATTACGATATACCATTGTTAAACATATATGATTGAAATGTACGATTATTAAATGTACGACTATTATATACGGGGTGGACCCATTTCAAGCGATCCACTCGAATATCTCTTAGGGAAAGCCTGCAATCAAAAATGACCTCAGTAAAAGTTGTATATACGAACGATATATACGAGCGACCTGTGAGAACGACCAAGAACGACCTGTGAACCGATACGGAATGCAAAGAGCTACTTCTTAATGCTCTCGGGAACGACGTAAATAAACGGTCTTACAAAAACATGCCCGTTTAAGCTCATATCGAACGACCATTTAAAAATAAAGTAGCTGCAAAAACATGATTTGTGAATGAATGTATCGCGATCTCGAGCCTTACGCTTACCCGTATAACCGCGCCCGAACGAGGCGAAACGATCGCGGGGTTTATTCGTGAATGAACCGTAAGCGAACCGTAAGAACCGTAAGAACCATAAGAACCATAAGAACCGTAAGAACCATAAGCGAACCGTAAGCGAACCATAAGCGAACCGTAAGCGAACCGTAAATCGACCGTAAATGACCTAGAAATCGACCATAAATGACCCATAAATACCCTTGTAAGAGGGAGTATACGAGTATGAACAGGAATATTGAGAGGCACCTGCGAATCAACCATAAATACCCCCCGGCATAATGGAGTATACGAATACAGAGAAACGCCCGCGAATCAATCATAAATACCTCCCCGGCATAATGGATTATATGTATATGGGGGAGACAAAATTACGACTGCGATCACGACGACGATTACGACGACGACGACGAATCTCTCCCGCGAATCAATCATAAATACCTCCCCGGCATAATGGATTGTATGAATATGGAAATGATAAAATTACGACTACGATCACGACGACGACGACGACGACGAATCTCTCGTGAAGACGCGGCGCGCCCGATCGGCGAAACGAGCTCAGTTCGCGCGAGCGACGATGAGTTTCGACACGCGCGAGGGGAAGGGAGGCGACGCGGGCGAAGATCAATCTTAAGAGATAACTTTGCATGTGATAGTAGTCTACTTCAATAATGCATAGTCTTCCAGGGAAGACGTCGTTCTTCGATTCCGTCCTTCGGCGCCGTCCTTCGACTCCGTCCTTCGACGCCGTCCTCCGACACCGTCCTTCGACGAGACGTCGAGATCGACGAGACGTCTGAAATACGTAAAGCTGCGTATTAATGATAATAATACGTATCGAGAGACGCGAAAGGAAAGAACGGCGCGTTATACCAGAAGAGATCAGTACCTCGGTTAAAATCCTTCGTCCTCCGTACGGACGGAGCTCGTTTCCTCGAGCGAGCTCGCGTCATAGTACCATATCTCCACGGGAGAATTGTCGTCACAGAAATCCTCGGTTTTAAACGTGCGATCCGAGACGAGCGGCTCCATGTCGAACAATCTTCTTAGTCGAAAGATGTCGGCGTAGATATCAGGGGAGCGCGTCTCCCATTCTCTATAGGACGGCCGGTCGCACCATAAGGAGTTTAAGAATCGCCGTTGCTTTAGTCTCGCCTGTCGTATCCAATGTCGGCGACGTATGTTGACGAATCCACAGATCTCAACCTCATTCTCGAACTATGAAAAAAAAAATATACGTAGTATTTTTCCTCGAAGGAGAGCGAAAGAATAAAGAGACGAATGAATACTTACGTTCCACGTTACGGCTATATTGAGGATCGCATCCATGAGATTTCTGATGTACTTTATCTTCCACAAGCACATCCACGGCGTGAACGTGCATTCGCGAAGCATCCTCCGCAATCGCGAAATTCCGTCGCTGCTCATCGTCGTTCGCGTGAAAAAATAACTTTGAGAATGAATGCTGGATACGTTAGGAACACTGGACGCACTGAGAACACTCGCGATATCAGACGCACTCAACAACGAGATCGCGAGACTCTGAGGAAAAAAACGGTCTCTCGGCGCTAATTTATACCTGCGATATCGCTATCGCCGAGTCTTTGTGATTCCGTCAAATGCTAATGCTGACGCCGTAATCTAAAGCGATATGAAAAAAAAAACGCGCGATGCGGAAATATAACGAGGTAATTTAATTTAATGAGGCGCGATAAATTCTCGATTGCTCCGGAGGAAGTGCCGGAAAATACGTTCAACCGCGTACGCGCGATACGAGTTTATTCGCTGATTAATATTATTTTAACATTATTTTAATATTATTTTAATATTCTTAGTATTAATATTATTTTAATTTTAATATTATTTTAATATTATTTTAATATTCTTAGTATTAATATTATTTTAATATTATTTTAATATTATTTTAATATTCTTAGTATTAATATTATTTTAATATTATCTTTTTTCTTAGTATTAATAGTATCTTTCTAAGTATTAATAATACTTTTAGGCAGGGTGATAAGTCGTCGATAAGAGTACGCGTAAGACTAATCTACGACGCGTCTCCGTTCACATGTCGCGCAATTGATCGCGTCTCTCCAACCACCAGTTGTGCAGTTTGCACACGTTTCCCAAGGCGCAATTCTTCGAGTGATAGCCGCAGCGATAGACGCGAGTCGTGGCTAGCGTTCGAAGGGGTCCGATATCCTCGTAATCCGCGTCGATGCTTTCCATCGTCAGGTCGAGCTGTTCCGCGACCTCTCCCGCGATGTCGACCAGCCACCTCTTCTTCTCGAGACCCTTGACGTAGATCGTCACCGCGGCGTTCGACGCGAGATCCCTCGACGCGCGATATATCGCGTCGCGAACGATCTGCTTCGCGTGCCTATACTCCACGTGTCCGTCGGTCCAGTGAAATTCGTGGTGATTGAGAGTCAGCCAACAGGCCTGCGACTTCTCGCCCTTCGTCGCAGATTCCACGACATCGGCGCGCGAAAGACGTGATGCGTCAGATCTCTACCGTTCGCGAGTATCGTCATCTCCTTCGTCACGAATCGCTCGTTGACGACGAAACCCTGCAGATCTATGAAGATCGGCGGGGCGATATCGCTCGCGAACGTCGTCGCGGTCATCGTCGCGAGATACTGACGTTTATTCGCGTCTCTCCCCGATATCTTCGCGATTTAGAGTTTCCTCTCTCCCCCCTCCCGTCCGACGCGTCGTCTTACATGATCTTACGCACGACAGTAGATGTAGTAGGCCGGTTCTAACCCAGGTCCTCTCAGGAGAGGTGAGGTGCGAGGGGATCTCAGCGGAGCGGGGGTATGACGTCACGCGGTGGTTGGGGGGGGGGCTCACGTTGAATGACAAGCATACACAAAAGAGCGGTATTCTTTTGAAAAGGATTTTGGGTCTAATATTTTTTTTGTTCTTTTATTTTATTATTTTATTTTCTTTTATTTTATTTTATTTTATTGTATTTTAAAAAAGATTTTGGAGCTAATCTTTTTTTTTTGTTCTTTTATTTTATTTTATTGTATTTTGAAAAGGATTTTGGGGCTAATCTTTTTTTTTTGTTTTTTAATTTAATTTTATTGTATTTTGAAAAGGATTTTGGGTCTAATCTTTTTTTTTGTTCTTTTTATTGTATTTTATTGTATTTTGAAAAGGATTTTGGGTCTAATCTTTTTTTTTTGTTCTTTAATTTAATTTTATTGTATTTTAAAAAAGATTTTGGGGCTAATCTTTTTTTTTTGTTCTTTTATTGTATTTTATTGTATTTTGAAAAGGATTTATTCTTTTATTTTATTTTTAAGGAAAAATTTTACTTTTTAAGGAAAAATTTTAATAGCGCTAATGATCGGCTGCTTTGTCTGGAGATTATTCGATTAGACACAATACAATTGGACACAATTGGCTTTGACTAATCGGAGGTGTCTCCCTCGTTTACATATCAGCGCCGATGTTCGGCTGCTTTGTACTCTCGAGGTACACCCGTAATAGATAATTCCAGGTTTTTTTTCCCGTTCGACGTATAAACAATAGAGATTAAGCGGACAAGCTTTCAGAGATTATCGGGGACACAAAGAAATTTTTTTTTGCAAATGGGATACTATAGAAAACCTTGTATAATTCTTTTATACAAATGGTATATTCTAAAACCTTTTATACTCTTATACATATTTTTATGACTTTATTTCATAAACTTACATTTTTGAGATATTTCAGTCCAACCTTTTCAAGCAATCTGTGTAATATAATAGCGCATTTTTTCTACGATCCTAGGTACATTTGCAAGAAAATTTTCTTTCGTGTCAA